TAGAAGTGTGGTCCCTTTTTCTGTAATTCAAATCAATAAATGAAATGCATATCTTTAAGTGTAGACTAAGCACACAAATATAATGGGGGGGGAAAAAGTATTGATGTCCAGTGCTTGTGAAATCTGGTCAGGTTAGTATTTTGCGACTGAACAAGTTTAAATCTCTAGATGTCAAATGTAAAAATTTTTTTTTTATATAATGAATTAAAACCATAAAAGTATCTTTATACTGACCATTTTATTTCTAATTCTACCCTGGTTGTTTTTCTATTATTGTTCCCTTTTTTAGAATCTAAAATCGTTTTACTCTCCAGGCCTTCAGTGTAGCCCTTTATTTTAATACATGTTGATCTTAAAACACAAGACATGGACTAAAACTCAGCCTGTATATTTTGTTAGAAAAAATTAAGAAATCGTGTTTCAAGAGACAGCTTTCTTTACTGAGTAGCTTGTATAATAGCCCCTCTACAGTCTGATAGACTCCCTGGGGCTGCAAGCCATTCACTCTATAGGGGAGTGTTAAGAACGACGTGTGTGAATGAGTCGTTAAAATCTCTGCTTGATCCACTAGAGGCACTGCTGAGTATGGACTTAAACACTCACACACTTGCAGGTCCCCTCTTGACAATAGTTAAAAAAATTTACCAGATGGTTTTAGACATGATTTTAGCATGATTTAAAGCATGTCCAACAGGGGACCTAAAAAATGTCCCCTGTTCACTTCTAAGTCCCCTCTTAGTGTGTGTGTAACGACGTCGAGGTCCACTGTTAGATAGGTTGGTAAGTGCACACACACACACACAAACACACTGGTCACAGGGCTGCTTGTTTCTCAAAGAGACAGGAACAAAAAGGACAATCCCTCCTTGTCCTCCAGCCTTCCTTAAGTAGACAAAACAAACAAATGCATAAAAATGCCATCCGATGGTGAGGGTGGCCTTGCAAAATACAACCAAAAGACCTAACACATTGTAATACAAATAAATAAAATAAAAAGAAACACAAATACCTGCAGTACAATAAAAATATTCCTTAAGACTGAATAAAAACTCAATCTAATTAGCATTTAACAACCATTCACCACATGGTCGATTAAAACAGTGATCTGACTGATTTAATTTAATCTCAACTGGGAGTTCCATTCCAATGCTGCTGTGTATATAAAGGTGTTTTGCCCAGAACAGCTCTTAAATCTACAAGGTACTATGTCAGTGGCACTGCCGCTAGTTGAGTAGCTATGAGAGCTCCTAATAAGCTTAAAATAACCTTTAAAATACCATGGCTCATTCCTATGCAAAATTTTGTGTTAATCTCAGTTTCAACTGCCTCACACTGTTTTCAACTGTCAGTCATTTTAAATCCTTCAGTTCAGAAGAGCTGACGTGGGTCCTATTGTTGAGGTTCAAGATCAACCTGACTAATTTATTCTGTGCCATTTGCAGTTGAACTTTTATTCTCCTGGTGGTACTGCTGTACCATGTCGTACAAGCATAGTCGAAGTGTGGCAGAATTAAAGCATTTGCTAACACTTTCAACGTTTCTTTATTTAGAAAATGCACCTTATGTGCCAGAAATTTCATTCTTTAATTCCAAGTGGGGCGCAAAAAGCGCATCGAGAAGAAGAGACACAAAATGAACTGCATCAGTTTCTTGATTTGTTCACAATCAACTTTCGCTGAAGCAGCAACCACAGCCTCTCAAATGTTGTTCAAACAGGTGTATTGTCTTCGCTGACTGTGAATCTGATGTTTAAGAAAAGCATACAAAATCTCAATAGAAAAAAAGAGATGATAATGATTGGAATCATTGTAGTAATTCATTAAAGAACATCCTAATGTATTAAATGCAGTAGTGACAATAAGGCAGCTAACATCACAGTATTTAATGTTTCCTGGGCCAACAGTGACCACCGGGTGGAGCCTCACTGTTGATGCCACAGCAGGGTTGTTCAGTGGCATTCCCTCCACTGCCCTTTCGACAGCTCCACATAAAAAAGCCTGATGGTTGTTTGGGAGGCTTTCAGTACCTTGAAAAGTATAGCAGAATCTGGAATGTTGGTACCTTGGCTGACAAGCTGTCCTCCTGAGCACTCCAGCAACCCATCAGAGGCAGCCTTCCAATGACTGGCTTCAAAGAAACCCAGCCTCAAACCCTCTGTTGAAGAGTTCAGTACTAAAGAGGTAGAAATGGTCTCGCTGCCTATATTGTGTCCATGGGCCGTCACTGAAGAAGTGGACCGCAGAGATGGTGGTTTGCTCTTTTTTGACACAGTCAAGCACTGGCTTCAGGTGCTGCCATATTGCGGGTCAGACCTTTACATTTTGATGGAGACACAGAGTGCTAGTTGTTTACAATCTCAGAGCTATATTTACAACCATAATACCACATTCCCCATCCATAAATAGATGTGGATTAGGCATTCACTGGGTGTGAGACTCTGCTAGAGTTCCTCCTGAGTGCTCTCCACTTGCTGTTTGAGGGTGACCTTTGACATTTCCACATTCGTGTTCTCAACTGACTGCTGAAGTAAAGGAGACATAACCTTTGGTATTTTATTGGCTGGATACGGAATAGCATCTGGTTTTGCAATCTGACCATTCCCCTTACATACACCTGTTATTCAGGGGTCACAGTTCACAGACTGAGCACGGATATTGACACAAAGTTGGTATAGCTTTTTCTAAACTGCCAGCGAGGGATGGACAACATAGAAAGGGCGAATAGGAGGTGGTGGAGTCCACATTTTCAGAGAGGAACTTTCCTCTTCTGCACCTTTTCTTGGCTCTTGTTATTGTCAGCCTTTTCCCTGTGGTAACCCCGCTGATAGCTTTACTGTAATCATCATGAATGTAGAAAAACCTTATCTTTGCTGGGCACAAGCGGTTCTGAGTGGCAGCTTCCTTTGGTATCTGCTGACAGACAGAGAGATGTCAGACAGTCTCAAGGACTTTTCTGCCAACTGTTAAAGGTGGTATTTTCCTTGTTATCACTCTTGAGTTTTTCAAAGGATGAAACAAAAGTGAATTTCTTAGATTCGCATTAGAGGATTGCTTATTGATTTGTGCTTGAGGTGAGGCATGTCCCTTTCTAATCCGCTGGATCCGGTTTCTACATTTGGCTGTGCTCTTCTTTAAGTCAACAATCTTATTTTGTTGTCTTGTTTTCTTGCTAAGTTCTAGTTGCCTAAAATAAAATAAAACAAATACATGATTCAGTGACTCCACCACTAGATTACTACACCTTTATAAAATGTGCAGTAAACATGATGTCATTTTTACCTGTACGCATTACAAATTACAGGTTGGCAGAAGCAAGAGTTATCATGTCAAGGCAATTTCCAAGCCATTTGCCCTTAATTGAGTAAAGCCTTCCTGTTTCTCTTTTCCCCATAAGTACCCAAACTTAGTCACAAGTGTTGTGCATAGGAAGCACATGTTCAATGTTCTATGTACCTAAAACTAGCCTTTCTCCTGACCCTGACACGCGGAGCCTGAACCAGAAGAAGCAAACTGCTCTGGGTAAATTCAGGACTTGCTGGTGTAGGAGTGAGCTTTTGCAAAGCAGTTTTTCTGGCTTTACTACCTTCATGACATCCGTTTTTGCATCTCTGCAAGCAAGTTTCTCTGTGTTTACATTTACATTTACTCATTTGGCAGACGCTTTTATGCAAAGTGACTTACATTTGAGGAACAACATACAAGCATCAACAGAGCATCAAATACAGATCTACTGACAATACATACTAGTAAGAGCTCATAGTTCATATCACATCAATGGGGTAAATACCTAGAGAAGGAAATAAGAGTTAACAAAAAGTGCAATCAATACAAGATAATTGTAAGGGGATAGAAGAAGAGCACAGGAAGTGCATGTTAGAGGTTAGGAGTTAGGAGTTAGAGGTGTTATAAGAGGAAGTGTTCTCGGAAGAGATGACTTTTCAAGAGCTTCTTGAAGTTAGAGAGGGACACCCCTGCTCTGATGGCATGTGGTAGCTCGTTCCACCATCGTGGTGAGAACAGATGAGAATAGCCGGGACTGGGATTGCTTTGTGTGAAGGGATGGCAGAGCCAGGCGGCGTTCATTGGAGGAAGGAACGTTGACTTGTATTATGGAGTTTAGGTAGATGGGTGAATACCCAGTAGTAGCTCTGTATGCAAGCATTAGTGACTTGAATTGGGAGGCCATGGGTAGCCAGTGGAGTCACTCATTAATGGAGTGACATGAGTCCTTTTGGGCTTTCTGAACCATTTGTAGGGGTTTCCCAGCACAAGCTGTAAGACCTACTAGAATGGCATTGCAGTAGACAAGGCGAGAGATAACCATGGCCTGTACCAGAAGCTGGGTGGCGTACTGAGTGAGGTAGGGCCTGATTTTCCTTATGTTGTATAGAGCAAAACGGCACGACCGAGAGACAGCAGCAACATGGTCTGAAAAGGACAGCTGGTCATCAATCATGACACCCAAGTTTCTCATCACCCTGGTTGGAGTGAGGGTTGAGGAGTCAGTTTGTAGTTTGATGTTATGGTGGATAGATTGCTTGGCTGGAATGACCAAGAGTTCACTCTGTGTTTATTATCATTAACTGACATACTGTTAACTACCTACTAACACATTACATGTTAAAGCCAACATCTAAACAAACATGTTACTTTCCCACATATTAAGAGAAAATGAAAGCAAGGTACTAACATGTGACATGGCCATTGTCCAAAGTCTTGAAGATGTAACTCCCTGGTAATAACTGTTTTAAGGAATGTTACATTTTTTAGTGGATGGGTCCTACTATGTTAACAGTGTTGCACTTTAAATGTGGGACACAGGTAAATAAATACAATGGATTATTAATGAATTGATATCATTAATAAATCAAAAATTCAACCCGATTCAAGGAAATGCTCGACTACACTTTGTTGCTGTACTGTAGATTTAAGTTTTCTTTTCCTTGTATATGTTACATTCACTGCAAATGAATAAGATCTAACTACAGTGTTGTGTTTTAGGTCAAAGACTCAGACAAAGGTGCTGTGTGTTGTTTGTAAGGAGAACACCGCTGTCAGCAGTTAACGTCCATGCAAATATGTACGCAAACTCAGTCGCCCAGTATTACAGTCACCATCGTCATCAGGTTCCCCCACCTGATAACCAGGCTGAAGGTATGAATGATTTCTCTTATCTGACCACAACGTAACAAACGTTGTTTGTACAGTTACATTTTTAATGCCATACCAATAAATATTTGTATATACACAACAGATCAGATGAGTGTGTGTTTTGTGAAAGGGTTGAGTTGTATGGATATATCTAGACTTTCAGCCACCAACATTAACTGGGAGCTGAACTCCCTGGAACAATTGATTCAAGTGTCTGTTCCAGAGGCCTGAGACTGCATTTCAAATTGCAGACAGATGGGCAGTATGAATGTAATTCAGTTGAACAGTAACTCAGTTGAGAGATGGAAAATGTTGCTATCTATCTTTATAGGGGATGATAAGGAGACCTCAAGCAGCCTGGATGAAGAGGTGAGTTGAAGATGAAGTTTGGTTACTTCAACAGTCAGACAAGCAGACCAACATTTGAAACCATTTAAGGTTAAGGTAAAAGTGAAATTATTCCTCACTGCACAGTTTCCCTCTGCAAAGAGGGATAATTACACTAGGACAGAGCATATGAGTAATTATTTTACTGTCAACCAATCTGTCTCATTGTCTGACTCCTCATGATTCTTGACTGACTGTATTGGACTGATGTTCCAATGTTAATGTGACAGACATGACTGTCAGCACCAAGTTGGCAGTGAGCTTTTTCCTCTCTTGTGCCTGCTTCATATTTTGCATTGTGCTGCAGTGTAAAAGTTATTAGACACTAAAGATGGGGCTGCATGTTGCTGACTTAGTGCAGAATACAGTCTTTGATCAGAACACATGTTCATTATCAGCTCTTGATGATATTTGCTTGGCAGCTACATTCATTGTGTGTTATTCCTGCTCAGTGATTCCTTGTTATTGCCCTTTTCCCCAGTTTGAGGAGTTGCCTGTTCGCCCAAAGACAGAGGACACAGATTACGTCAGAGTTAACCCCTTAGGAGCTGCAAGGAACAGTGAAAAGTTTGGCCAAGGTGGGCTCCTGCCTTGTAATTATGACAACATGTGTGGGGACGCTGCTCAGAGTAGCTCAGGGTGCGCTAACAACATGGAAGATGATGATGATGAAGATGAAGTCACCTACACTCACGTGATCATCAAACCCAAACACAGACTTTAGTAGCTGCATGAGGAACTGTGGGATGGTGGACAGCATCAGCGTGAGGATGATGATGAGCTGAGTGAATTATTCTGACAGGTCTGACTCGACTATCTGTACTGCATATGACAGCTAAACAATCTTAGTAGCTAACATTGGCAGCATAAGCTAATATTTTATTTATACAACACAGCAAACATCTGTTTGCTTAAAAAGCTTACACATTTTGTACTTCAAGCAGAAAAACTAGACAGTGCAGATCAGCTGTGCATGTACCAGATCTGATGCAGACTTTTGCAGGCTTTAAAGCATAACAATTCTACATTAAACATATCATACATATACAGTCATATAGTTTATTTAGCTGTTGATCTGTCTTTTCCAACCTCTGTGCAGATCTGTCAGGCCGGCCAGGGGGTTAAGAAACAATGTAAAACGTAAGGCCTTGTTTTTATTTGCGAAACAGCTAAAAACTGGGGTGTGACTTCAGTATTTTGAATGAGGTTAGTGATAAGCCGACTCCAGGTCAACCCTCACAATCAAAGTCTACTGTTAAAATTTGAGCAGGTTTAATTCCACTTGTGTATGGAGGGAGATATTCCTGAATAGCAGGATATACACCTGGAGCAATAAAGATGACACATACAGACTTCTGGCTTGTCTCTAAAACCTCAATAAAGAAAAGGTTTTACAGTCCATACTTTAACAAGGTCACTGACTGCTTTTTTTCTACTTAGATTTTTTATTAATCTTTTACATGTTAAATAATTGTTGTACATACACTTAGGTTAACAATACATTTGACAGATGAATTAAGGTAGTGTCCAAAATGTAACAAACATACAGATAAAATAAAGTTAAGAAGAAAATGCATGTTGAGAGTTTACATTCAATGGTCAGTTTATTCTAGCAGTTCCCATCGTGTTAGATGTTCCTCATTGCTGTTTTAGGTCTTGAACAATGTCCACTTCTGCCATTTTCCAACCAGTTGTGTCTCTTGCATTCTTAAATGATGCCAGTTTTTCCATTATGTATATTTCCTCTACTATCTCTGTCCATTGTTCTTGAGTAGGAGGTTCCACCTACAGCCATTTCTTGGTAATAGCTTTTTGCTAGCTATTAGCAATGTTTTGAGCAGGTACCTATCTTTCTTTTGAACATTTCCCTCAGTGAAGTTACAAAAATAGAATACCATGTAAGTCATAGCTAGATCATATCCCAATATTTTCTGTATAGCTTCAAAATGTGTCAATTTCCATAACGGTAGAATTTGTAGACATTTCCAGAATATATGTGTGTGGTCCACTTCTAATGCTCCACAATCTCTCCAGCATGGAAGATTTATGTTTGAGTAATTACTCTTAACCTAGGGTGTAATATAATATGTACTGTATATTCCACATATTTTGCCAATGATTATCTAAAATGTTTGTGTTGCGTTTTTTCCCATTTTTCTTATACATATTTGGTTGAATGCTTATTTGCCATCAGTGCTTGGTATAGTGTGGATATAATTCTAGTTTCAGTATCTTTGTACAAATCAATCATAGTTTGAATCACACTGTCTACTTCGATGGAGGGGTCTCTTTTAATTTCTTTCTTATAGTAGACCCTTAGTAGTACCTACAGAATTCATGTTTGCCTAGATCATATTTTTCCTTCATATTCTGGAAACACTCCAGTTCTCCATCCTTCCCTAACGTGCACCATGCCGTGATTCCCTTGGTGACCCACTGTTTAAAACCCTTATCATATCAAGATGGCTTGAAATTACTATCAAATGCTATCCACTTTAGTAGATATGCATCTTTCTTTATCCTGTCTTTTAATCATTCCAAACCATAATTCAAAAATCTAGTGGCAGATTAGATCTTTCAATGTCATCAATGTCTTTTTGTGTCTCCTTATTTATCTTGTTGTAGTTTGCTTCGTATAATTTAGATAACTCTTTAGTGATATTAACTCCCAAGTATTTTCTTTTCTTTAGTTTCCAATTGAGATTAAATAAATCCTGGACTGTTGTTGATGGTGTATAGTTAAATGCACGTGCACACATGCAAAGGTCCGCCCAACACTGCTTGCAGCTTAAATTATAAATAGTATTCAACTTTATATAACACCAAGTTTGGGTACAATGTAAATCCAATTAGCCAGGAGGAAAAGTTAATGTGTGATCCTCCGATTACTTTGGAAGACACTGCCCAGATAGCAAGACTACATTGAATAAATATTGATTTTCCATCTGAATCATCAGAATGGTTGAGATTGAAATCTCAACCCTAAATAAATGTTGAATCAATATTGCAGTACTGATGAAAAACGACCATGTATGAGCGTGACATTGGAATAATATTGATTTATAGTTGCCCCGATTATACTTGATTAAGCATTGATTTGTAGTTGATTGGGTAACAACAACAATGTTGAAAAATCATCTATTTATAGTTGACCAGAAATGACATGATATTGAAAAGCCATTGATTTATAGTTGACCGGGAAACATGATTGAAAAGTCATTGAATTATAGTTGACCGGGAAACATGATTGAAAAGTCATTGAATTATAGTTGACCATGAAACAGGATTGAAAAGCCATGGATTTATAGTTGACCGGGAAATATGATTGAGAAATCATTGAATTATAGTCAACTGCCAGTCAGTCAGAACTGAAGAAGTCCTTTGGATGAGGGACGAAACGTCTTCCAGTATCTTCAACCAAGTCCAGTTGCCCTTGATTTTAACCTTCGTTGGATAACATTGAATTATAGTTGACAGGGAAACATGATTGAAAAATCATCTATTTATAGTTGACCGGGAAATGACGTGATAAAAGCCATGGATTTATAGTTGACCGGAAAATACTATATGATTGAAAAGTCAATGCAGCATTATTGACCGGGAGACCATCGCTTGGTGGATCAACGTTCCTGAACCCCACACATCTCACAAGTCCACATCAGGTAAGCACATATTTATTTATCTAATGTTTAATTGTACCAAATTTGTAGACATTTATCATTTATTGACATTGTCTAACATTATATGCAGTCATAGACTATATACAAGTGTTTCAATACCATTTTATACTGACAAATAGCACAATATCCAAGCTCCATCGTATTAGGATAAGTTACTTCTCTAGTATAAATGCTAACTTTATCACCAGAAGATAATATCCTGTACAGGACTGTAAATTATGTTAAAAACTGTAATTTATCTTTTCTCAGATTTTGACTGCTTTGCGAAATATATGCACACCTTTCTCATGCTCGTAACTGATCTTAGCTAATGCCCCTGTCATTTAACTTTAAATAAGCCAGCTAACTTGATACATCTGTCAGTCTTCTACAAGTTTCAGCCTCCAGATTCAATCTATGACTGCATTTAATGTTTGACAATTTAAATAATATTAAACTATAAACATCAATGGATTCCACCACAGCCAAGCAGTCTACATCTTCAATAAACTGGCAAATTGGTAACATTAGTGAATTCAAGTAAGTTAACTTATATATATAATATAGCGCCAATTCAGCCCGACTGACATTGTTCATCTTCACATCCTTTTCACTACTGAAAGTTGTTTTGTTTGTATATTTTCTGTTATAGATGTCCTGACTGAACCAATGGGGACAGAAGTCTTTGACTTTGCCCAGGCAGCACAAAAATGGCTTCCTATGCTCCAGATCTGATGGGTGGACAGAGCAGAACAGGAGTAGTGAATAATTTTTTTTATTCCATAAATAAACTTGTATTTTTTAACTGATTAAATTGTCCGTTCCCAGATAGCAAACATTATTGAAACTATGTTGAATCAGCATTCTGCTCTCAACGCTAATTTAATTGAATCAACATCAGACTCTGATGTTGATTTATCATCATTTTGCACCATTTTTTAATATTGAAACAATGTTGAAATCATAGCTAACTAAAAATCAATGTGACTTCAATGTTGTTTCAACCAATATTACTATTGAAACAACGTTGAAATCAAAGCCTAACTAACAATCAACGTGACTTCAATGGTATTTCAACCAGTATTACTATTGAAACAACTAGCAATAAACGTGATTTCAATGTTTTTTCAGCCATTATTACTATTGAAGACTCTGATGTTGATTCACCATAATTTTGCACCCTGGTTTAATATTAAAATAATGTTAAAATCACAACTATAAATTAACGTGACTTTAAATGGTATTTCAAACAATTGTTATGGTGTGGGGACAGAGTGGACCCAAACGCAACTCTGGGGATTAACAGCTTTTATTAGGGGAAAGAAGGGGTTAAGGGACTGGAGTTCAGGGAGAGGTGGATGCCAGGGAAATGCAGGCACGGGGAACCGAGGAGACTGAGACCAGAGAGCTGAGGGACACTGGGGGCCGTGGAACAGAGGATGCACGGGAGAACTGATCAGGGGGTTGGTGGAGGAGTGTGGTGGCAGGCTGACTAGGAAGGCACGAGGGAGAGCCGGGAGGACGCCGTGGGGGAAGCCCAAGGGGAGAGGGCAGGTGAGCGAGCCCAGCTGACTTGACTGAGGATGAGGGTGAGTGAACCTGGGGAGAGACAGACAGACAAACCGGGTTAGTGACTCAGGGAAAACCAAGAACAGGGAAAAAGATCAGTGGCACCGGGTAAGGAGCAACGACGATCAAGCAGCGATGGAGTGGAGAACCGCGGTAGATATGCAGGCAGGGATGAGGTAGATTGCTGGCAGGTGTGGCAGGCAGAGGAGGAGGCTGACGAGATGCAGGTGCGGGTCGTTGGCTGGGCTCAGGAGCGGAGGGAGAGAGAGAGAGAGCGCACGCGGGGAGGAGACACAAGGAGGCAGGCAGAGAACAGAGAAAAAAACAGGGATAACAGAATCACAGGCAAAAAAGGAGAAAAACCAGGACACTCACCGTCGGCCGGGTTGCCACCACAACTCCAATATTACTACTGAAACGACGTTGAAAAGATAGCCTAACTAAAAATCATGTGACTTAATGTTATTTCAACTGATATTAAAAACACAAAATAGACTACTTGAAAATAGGTGAAAAATATGTCAGCCATAATGTTATGAAATAGGCTAACCTAAACATTAGGCTTAATCTAATATAAATGACAACAGACAATTTACATCTGTTAAGAAAAGAAACTTTATTTATGTAAAAACATTTTTTTTTAGCTTTACTCCTGCTCTGGTGTTTCATTGATGAGTTGGGTTGAGGTAGGCACTGTAGACAGAGCTTGTGTAGCCTAATGGTAAAGGCACAGACATAGCAATCAGACATTGCAAAGCAAGTTGGGTGTTATTTGGTAGGGGTGGGCAAAAAAACAATTCTTAGATGCATTGCAATGCGGACGTGGAAGTTTCCAACTTATTACAAAACGTCCAAAAATTGATAATGTAATTTTGACCAAATGAATTAAGCGGAACTTGCGGAAGTGCAGTGCCCGGACCGTCTGTGGCATGCACATAATAGTGATGTGCGATACCACTTAATAGGCTGGTACTGCCAACACCCATAATATTTACATATTTTATTCCTAGTTTAATGTGACCTCCCCCTCCCGTTTCTGTATAGATGAAGGAAATAAAGAGTAGGCTTACCAATTCAAAATAATAGCTGCATAATGACAAGACATCAAACTACTGTCATATTTTTTAATTATAATAAAAATATCCTGAACTGCCGCTTCATAACATCATCATATTATTATTTTGACTTAATCTCAGGTGTTAAGTGAAGTTTGCGGTGTATTTCACTGTCTTTGCACACACATCACACACAGCGTCATTATTACCTTCACAGCTAAAATACAGCCAGACATGACTGTTTCTACAGTCAGTCAGTCAGAGTCAGTATTCAGTCGCGGGAAATGTAAAAGGCTGCAGCGGCTCACTTCAAAGAAGCTCTGTCAGCGCAAGCATGACTTTGACAGGCGGAGGGAAAAGTAGTTCCTATAGTTCCTATGAGTATAATTAGACCATCCTGGTAACAGTAAGATACTTATGATAAAACACACACTCACTCCAAATGACTGAGTTTAGATATCGATCCTTTTGTATGAGTATCGATCCTAGAGCAGGAAATGTTGGAATCAGAAATATTGATACTTTATCGATCCGCATATCACTACTTCCTCCTGTATTTGGCAAACCACCGCTGCAGAATGAATACCACTCTACTAAAATGTCACACAATCATTAATATCAGTGCGCAAGTAATGATTTTAACTCGCACACTGTGAGAGCATGGTGACACTCTACGCTTGGCAGCCCCCTGCCTATCCTGTGTGTGACGCTGAGCGAATGAGAGAAAGAAAGCGGTAGAACATGACGGTGAAAAATATTAGTAGTAAGTTTCTGTCTTGTAGTAAACGTGCAGTGTAGGTCACAGTGTGTCTGTTAATAAAAGTCTGTAGTTTCCCCAACTGCTGGAAAAGTGAAGGCTGTTGTCAGCGCTAATCTACCTGTACAGCACGTTTTTTGTTATGTAGCGTTAGCTAAATTAGTAAGGAAGTAATGTTAATTAGCTCAGCTGTATGTCATTACTAACTTACCTACTTGTCAAGGGTCGTACAAGGTACAAGCATAGACTTAACGGGTGCAGCTCTGTCCTGTACACATACTGTAACGTTACATCCTGATAATTACATTTCAGTTTTCAGAGGAATCTGACAGCTGGTTGTTAAAGAAATGAGGGACCATGGAGCTGAGGTTAATGAAGTAAATTAGGGATGCAAACTAATCCTTTTAAGCTCATGTTTCTTTTGGATTTTAATTCGCAAATTAAATGCTTAGTAAATATCCAGAGATCCTGTATAAAAAAAAATTATCATCAAGCATCAAGATGCATCGAAAATCGTTTTATAATCGCATCGAAGCCTTCTGAATCATAATCGAATCGTGAGCTGCCCAGAGATTCCCACCCCTATAATTGGGGGAAAGTTTTGCTGAAGGTGAAATATATCTAAACTATTTGTAGTTACAGGTGACTAACACTAATGACATAATTATGAATATGATATTCCATTTCTACTAATAGATCCCCCAAAATTTTATACACTGTACCTTTCACTTCTTTATCTAGACTATCCACAATAGACATAACATTAACTGAAAACACAACATTAATATTTAAACAGACTGACTCACCAAACATGCACCTGCAGAGCACCATCTCTTTAAAAGCTTTTTTTTGTTTTGTCTGGTCCTTTAGCTTCTTTCCAGCCCAGTTGAGCCCAG